CACAGAAATGTTATGGAATAACAATAGCATGTCGATTCGTGACGGATATATCATTTATGCTACTGGCTATTCTTCCTTTGCCTCTCATGTTAATGTTTGGTTTGATGACTGTTTGCAACATTCGTCAATCAAGAGGTCGAGTAGCTAATAGAGATACATCAATGGTGACACATACGGTAACAACCAATGCAAATCCACGACGTCGAATGTCCAAGCAAGATCAGAATCTATTAATTATGCTTCTTGTACAAATTTTTATTCTTGTCTTATTATCTCTCCCATTGGCTTTTCAGAAATTATACTCAGCAATCGTGGTTGATAGAACACCATCTGCATTGCAAGCAGCCGTTGACAATTTGGTTTATAATCTTGCTCAATTACTTCATTTCTTAGCAAATGGAATGCCATTTTATATTTATACACTAGCTGGTGGAAAAGTGTTTCGTAAAGCTTTATTCAAATTCTTCATCAATTTAAGGCATCACAATCTTCATAGATGACGATGATTTTATTTTTTTTCCATTTCATATTTATTCAATGAACATATTTTCTCGAAATTTATTTAGTCTCGTATTGTAACAATATAGTGTTCATAGAATGAAACGTTGAACAATATTCAAAAGCAAGTGGTATAGATTGTGGAACAGAGCTATCGAAGGTCGTAGCACAACATGACGTACTATTATGAAAATCTCATTGAATCAATGAGAGTACTATGAAAAAGCTTTTGAGTATCAAGCAACAAAATATTTATTATACATATTTGTAAAAAACTACTGTTGTGCTAATTTTTGTTCATGATTGCAAATGTGTTCTTGTAGTTAGAAGTTATAAAAAGCATACAATGTCAAAATTTATGTTTTCTCTGGAAAAAGCATCGACAAGTATTATTACTAAAAAATATCAGGTATACTAAAAAGCTTGCAACATCACTTACTTGGCAAATAACTCGATACAGAGAAAACACAGCACTGTGACTATTTTTAAAGATGTACTATCGATTTCTCTACAAAATTAGCAAAAACAAAACTTTATTGATTTTTTCTAATGACTTTTTTTATAATATCGAAAGGAAAGTTTCGGTGTGAGCTATTTCTTCTCTCACGCCCTCACCGATACTCATACCGATAGAGAATATATTATCGATAGAGGTCTGCTAATTTTAAGAACGAAAAGTGAATATATGAAAAAAGCGCAGTATAATGAAAGATAATCCAGCCTGGTATATTGTTGTATTTATTTACTAGTGAGGCATTAAATATGAATGCAACAGCATTTAAATGTCTAATTATACTTTGTATAATCATTTTCTTTTTCTGTCTGCATTAAAAGAATAAACAATATGGACAAATCATGCATGTTATAATATCAATGAACTTCGATTCATAAATAAATGTTTTCTTCCTTCTTATGCCATGTTATAATGCAAACACTCTTTCTGTTCTCATCACCAACAATTCAACAGGATATAAGAAGGTGATAATATAGAAATGAGAGTAGACAAACTCTATCTGCAATCGTATTTTATTTATCAATTATTTTGTTTTCTCTATTCCAACAAATTATGTTGAGTCAATAGCTAAGATTTATTCAGCAGAATCTACAATATATAATTGTATATGATTGAGTTCACTTCATAAGTTTTAGTTTTAATATATGTAGAACGAGGATTTAAGACAATAGAAGCTTCCTCAATTATAAATTAGATATTCGCATGAAACTTGACCTATTTTGTATAGTGCGTGTTTATAAAACACAATTGCTACTGAGTGCCGAAGTAGGCAGTAAAAAAGTGAAACTTTCGTCGGGTTGCTTCACACATCATGATAAAAACGTTGTGATGGCAAGAGAAAGAAGAACTTTCAGATATTGATTTTGTTTCGATTTCGAAATATTCAATTTTGAATCAATTTTCGGGTTTTTAAAAGATTTGATATACAAAAATAAAAAATCGGCTAATGCCTTTGTAAGATATGATTTTTGGTCCCGTACATATCATTGAAGAAATAATTGAGGAAACAATTCATTCCATACATCAGCACTAAAAATGTCTCAAATTGATGAAAAAAAAAGATTTGGCGCTGTTCAACTGATCCTTACGTCAAAGTGAAAATCCACGTGACATATGGTAAACATGGAGAATTCGTTTTTTAGATGTCAGCTTGTTTCTTCGTATTCTCTTTCCTCACATCCCCACCGACACCCACCCACAACAGGCAACATATCCCTCCAATATTTCCTATACTAGTACTTAATTTAGCATCGAGGAAATTCTGAAAAAAAATTTCAATCTTTTGATCTGAGACACAGTCACTCTTGCTTCAAAACAAAAATAAAGAAACAAGTCGGCGTTGATGATAATGAACATAATTGTATATTAACCGTAAACAACTAAAATTCATCTATCATAAGTAATACGTATATATTACTGGTACGAAAATCTGTCAAGCAATAATAATCTACTTCTGGTGTTTTATTACCATTTATATTTCATTCAACTAACTGTTTTTATAAATTAACGAATCGTGACGGTCAAATAGTTATAGATGAGTAAAATTAAATTAGGAATACCATGTTACTCATCATCTGTTAATTATGATAATATACAGATAAAATATGTCAAAATGTGTTGTTTTCTTTGATTGTTGTGAGAGAGTGTAAGTCTTTTTGTTTTATACTAAGTGGAATCACTGTGTTGACAGGATAAAATGTACAACGTCAAGTATTTTTAATATATACCAAGAGTTATTACAAGAAGATAAAGATTGTTGAGAATGCATTGTTTTCAATATTTGTTTTATTGACGTTGTAATACTGAGTTTTTTCTTCGTTTTTTTTTACTTAAAGTGTTACAATAACTGATGGAGAAGTATGTAAATGAACTGATCGTTGTATTATACGTGCGTTGTGACGCTAAATTTTAATAAGCTTAATGTTATCTGAAGTGTGTAGGAATTTTTTAAAATCGTTAATTGATTTTTTTTTTGCTGGTTATAAAATATTCATGCTTTAGTTTTTCGTATATTCATGAAATGGTAGTGTAAAACAGAGTATATTATGAAAAAAATTATGCAAATCATTATATTTTCTATGAAAGATGGTATGATGCTAAATTTATGTTTTTCTTCAAGAGAATTCAGCAATTTCTGAAATTTTCAAAATTTCTGTTCACAACAAAAACGAGATCTTAATAAACTAAGACTCAAGCAGTTATGTACTGTTAAAGTACTCTTATTTTATTATGTTTCTAGAGCAAGGAAAAATTAATTATTTTTTACCAGGTCCTTTTATATTGTATTCTGTTACTTTTCTTTTCTTGTTATTATTTTTTCCTGCTTTGTTGTCTCTGATTGACATTGGTTGTTCTTTTTTGGGTTCACTAATGGGTTTTCTATATTGTAAATATTCTCAGAAG